CCTCCACCTGGGAATTAAATGTTCCTCACAACAACCCTTGGACTAGACCTTGACACACACACCTTTTAGCTCTTATCAAGCACTTTATCAGCAGATCCAAACCATTCTATGATTCTATAAGAAGGGACAAAAAAACCCAAAAAAATAGACCTTTCCCTGGTGTACAGGGCTCTCTGAAGCCCAAAGGGTTGGTCTGCTGTCCGCTCCAGCGGTTCTTGGTGTAAATTCATCCAAAAAAAGGGTGAAGGCTGCCCAGTTTTGTCCCTGACTACACGTATTTGAATGATAAACCTGAGGGAAGTGATCTACAATGAAAATCCTCAGTAAATCCTTAGCACAGAGTGGAAAGGAAAGCCCAGGAGCGTTTTCTATATAATTTTATTTTGTCAATGTGAAGAATTTCCAGTGCAATAAGAGAGGACAGGACCGAATTTGGGTTTCACCCAGCAGGGTGGACACCTCAACATTTCCAGCCATGACAAGCAGTTCAGTTGTTGGATTGGAAGGTGGTGAGTGGGAAGCATGGTCTCACTAGACAATCCAACCAGTGAGTCTGCGAGAGGCCGTTACCATCCCAGGCTATGGATCTCTGGATCAACCAACCTTTTCAGAGATGACCCTAATGACTTCCCCACACCTGGGGTAATGAGCATGCCTGATGATATGGTTACAATCCCCTTGGTTTAAAAAAAGAGACGAGCGCTGTATAATGGGCCACGTCCTCCAGGACTTGCTTTCCCTGAACCACCGTGTTCCACAGCACAGGTGAGTTCTCCTCTTGGCTCCAAAACTTGACCTCAAATAATATGAAGCTAAAGACTAAAGTGAAAGTCTTTCCATTACATTAAGATCTTTTTTTCAAACAGAGTTCAAGTAACTTTGTACCGACACGGAAGAGAGGGAAGCGCCTTTCCCCGCTGGGTGTTCTCTTTGCTACCTGTCAGTAATTTGGTTCAGAGATGTCTGTGATCGTGGTCCCATGGATTTGGGTCTCCCAGTCTGAGAGCTGTTTCACAAAGCCCCTGTGTGGTCTCATGTTTGTTTTGCATTGCAGAACGTAGTCCCAAGCTCTCTGTAAACCGAAGGAAAGCAAAGAAGCTTTGGGAATTTAAACTGAAAGCTTTCAGATGTGTACACAAAGCAGCTACACTTGTAGAGGACACAGCTTTGTATTTGCTCCTCGTGTTGAACAGCAAGAACCTGCAGATAAGACTTTGGCTATCAAAGCAGGGTCAGGCTGGATCCAGATGTGAACTTCAGAGAAGCCTGTCTCCTTCATGCTCTGCTCTCCTGGATACAAGGGCAGCTCAGGCTGCTGTCACTGCCAGCTGGGTGTATTGTGTTATTTTACACCGATGGAGCAATGCACTCCTGGATTTTTACCCTAAAATTCTGTTTCTTTGATGGGTGATAAGCGAAGCAGTGAAGTGTCACTATTCACAGGTAAGCAACAGAGGTCATCTTGTTTCTAGATTGGTGTAATTTGATGTGGCAGAGCAGCTATGAAGCTCCAGTTATCTCACTGCATTAATTACAGCCATCTTAATTATACGTTAATCCATGTAATCAGCTAGGAACTCTGCTACACACAGGGCAGATCCACCAGCATTACTCTGCTTTATTCCAGCTGCATCCTTGGGTTTACCCAGTAGTGTTCACCTTCCCCCTTTCAAAACAGACTTCCCCTCACACTCAGAGGATTGCTTAAGAGTAATGAGACCAAAGGTTAGAAGATAGTGCTCCATTGGTTTGTTTTTCTAATCTCAGTGATACTCCAGGCTCTGAGGCTGATCTTCCAATATCTACTCCTCTGAGTGCATGGTGGGGATGTCTGTACTTCCCCTGAACTCAATTAATCTGCTCACATATTGATTACTAATAGAATAAGGGACCACACGTCCCAAATCTGCCTTTCTTTTGCAATATCCCTGGCTTCTGAAGCTTTCAAAGATCTCTGCCTAGACTGGGTGAAGGATCACATGGGAATCTGTTGCATTGCTTTCCTCTGCAAGAAACAAACTTGTCTGCCAGGCTAATCCCCCAGGAAAGCTTTGCCCAGCCAAGAGTGGGCAAGCACCACCCAGGCCAGCTGCAGCGTGCCACTGCCCTGTCAACCTTTCCTTCTTTTTTTGTTTTTGGCACTTAGTAAAATGCTGAGACCAACCTGTTGATACCAACTGAGAGAAACTGCAAGGATCAGCCTTTGACTTTTGCACTGCTGTTGCAAGCACCTCCAGTAATTTAGCATACAAGGGAATGGTTATCAGTGTTCAGAAGCAATCACACCCAGCATTAGTAGCAAAGATGGAAGAGTGTCTGCAGCCCCATTGGCACGCTCAACCTGAAATTACCCGTTGGCACACAGCAATGGGAAGGGATTTCCTCTTATGTTGCAAATGTTGACACAAAATCAATTAGATGATTAGATACAGGCCCAGCTTCAGTGAAGCTTGGACCAAGGCTCCCAAAGGAGGAAATACTTTCCAAAAAAGGACAAGATTTTTAAGGAGATGCCTTTCAGTTCCCATGGGAACAAGGCTGCTCTGTGCCTACGGCACCACAATGCTTGTGTGCTGGATGCAAAGGGAAGAAGGGACCTGGCACCTGAGGAGAGGCCACCAGGTTATAGCACAGCTGGGTCATCCTCAGGCATCAGTCATTATTTTCCTTACCTTACTCAGAGCTAAGGAACAGCATGTACTGGCCATTTAACCTGTACTTCCTTCCTGAGCTATTATCCCATTCCACATTTCTCTGCAGTGCTACTATCTGTGGGAAGGGATTCCTTCTGGAGAAATAAAATAGAATATTGGAAGAAACCAGTGCTGCTGAGCCCAGTGGTAAATCAGAGCCCTGGAAGCACTGGGTTCTGAATTTCCCTGTATTAAGAGATGGGATTAACTCCAGTAGCTTCCAGCTACTCTCTTTCTCAGATCTAGGAGAGCAGAAATGCTAAGATCTGTAACCACAGCTTTATTTTTATAGCCCTGTAGTTAAGTAGGGAAATGTAAGAATATCACAGGTGCCAGGGGGAAGACTTACAGGTCCAAAATCACACCTAAGCCACCTCCTTAATGGTGTAAAGATGCAATCTCATATAATATAATCTGTTACATTATCAAGTGGATAGTTTGCATGAAAAGCACAGATAATGTCTGTCTTATTACTACAGTAATGAGGCTTTAGAAACAGAAATGAACTGCAGACCCAGCCAGTATCTGTGGAAAATATGACAGTGACGTACCTTGAGGGAAAACCCACAGGAATACATAAGATAGGCCATGGTTACTGTGCTGCTCCGGCTTATCCCCAGGCTGGAGAACACCAGCACCGCTCCGTGATCCAGCTGAGCGTCTGAGTAAAGAAATGCCAATCACAAATTAGTGATTTGGAAAATCAAGCTTCCAATTCCACAGTCAAACTCTAATTCAGTGGCAGCTGACAAGCTGGCAGCCTGAGCGACAGGAACCCTCACGAGCCCTGACAGCAGCAGATGGGCACTGCCAGCTCCCATTTCTGTAAGCATTTGCCTTTTTTCAAAATCCACTGAGTTAAAACGTGGCTTTGAAGACCAGAACCAAATGACAATGACCAGCCAATGCTGCAGTACAGATCAGTGTTGCCTTTACATCAGATAACTGAAGAAAAGTGGCCCACCATGATCAATCTGCTGTGCTTGGCATCACATCAGCTACTCAAACTCCTCCCAGAAAAGTGAAAAGGTATTGAAATTTCTGATGAACACAAGCCTAACTGTTCACCACTGAAGCAGGAAGAATCAGCTCTCAAACTGGAGGGGACTTAGACTTCCAGTCCCTTGCCCCTCTGTGGGGATCACCATCAGGAAACATGAACACACCAGCTGGGGAGCTGATTTTCTGATGTTTTTATGGTGGAGACTTTGCAGTGAAAATTGTTAAGATCAGCAAACTTATTTTCTGCAAAAGCCAAGCCCATTTGGCTTTAAGAGGGTGCTGTCACTCGCTCACAACCACATCAGCTCTGCTAACTATGCCTGAAAGAGTCTGTATTTTATTAATAACCTTTTAAATTCTTTTCCTCCCTCTCCAGAGCAGACAGCATGAAATGATTTTGGAATATCAGCAACTGAACTCTACAATTCATATGGCAAAGCCTCTTCTTTTACTGCTGTCAAGAAGTTGTGGAGTTTTGTGGGTTTTTTTCTTCAAGCTCTAAACCAGAGATTTCTGAGTTATTTCTGTAATGAGATACTAGTTCTGATCTAAGACCTGAGTAGAAATGGCCTCACTCCAGCATACCCCTGGCACAAGGATATCCACACTCCTCTGGGAGTACGTGCAGAGCTGTAGTCTAGTGTTCACCCATAACCGTTCCAGTTTAAATAATCTACTCTAGACTATCAAGTAAATAGTTAAGACTATCAAATAAACAGTATACCCTTCCACAAGAGCTACAGCTAATAAACTCTTGTAGTCTGTTTTGGAAACTTCCACAAAATGATGTAAGAAATACACTTTCTTCTGAAATCCTAGTAGGAAAAAGGGGGGGGGGGGGGGAGCAAAAAAAAAACCCAAAAGAAAAACAAAAGCTGTGCTGCTGCAGTTGCTGAGCTGGAGAGTGTGTTCTTTCTTGCCCTCTCTGATGTAATCAGCTAAAGGCAGGTTTATGCTGTCCAACCTGAAAGTGTTCCTCAGCTCTACAGTAGGTCTGCACTGCGAATCACAAAGATCAGCAGCACCTTGTGGTAAGTTCTCCAATATGTGTCACACTCTTGTTAAAATAAAGCTCTGGTGGTGGAAGAATTGGGCTGGAAGAATCAGAGGGTTGTATTTAAAAACAAAGGAATAGGAGGGAATCCTATGAAGCCCTGGAAGACATCCTACAGCAAAGCCTACTCAGATCTAGTGGAAAGCTCACTATTATCAGAGAGTGAGGTATTCTTTAAAGTGAGTAGGAACATCAGAGTCTGCTGCCCTGCAAAATCTCCTCTGTGTCCATCAGGATGGTTAGCAGGGTGGCTCTGGTATCCCTTAGGGTGTGGGCTTGCTTGGGAGTACACTGATCTTGAAAGATTACGACCCTCCTGTCTGAGCTTCCTGTTGGAGTGAACTGCAGTCACTCCCATCTGATATCCTGGGGTGAGTAAGGTCTCAGGAATTCCAGACTGGGAACTACTCACCTATGAAATGACAAATGGTGGCAAAGGTAGAAAAAAGGTCTGCTTCGAGTGAATCTGGAACAGATATATGGAGATAATTGCTGCCTTCTGCAAACCTGGAAAAGGAGCACATGGTGTGACATGGGTCAGAGAAGCAGCTTTGAAATAATGTGTTTGTTGGAGGCAAGCTGATAATTTTGTTTGGTGTTACATGCTTGAGTTTTTCATCGTTGTCATCATTAACATTATGATAAGGGATTTGTTGTGGTGAGACACTGAGGTGCTTGTAATACAGAACCAGTTTAATTACTGATTTTCCATCCCACGTGGTATCACCATTGATGTTGTAACTTAACGTACAGCTTCCTTATGTGACAGCTAAATGGAAACTTTGTTTTGGTCACCACCTTGAGAAATGCCACTGGATTCTTCACTGGTGTGAAATGGCATTTCCAGCATGGCCTACAAACTGAGCTGCATGGTCAGATGTAGGTAAGGAAGGAAGACCAACAATGTGAAACATCAGTGATTTAGCTTTTACATTGATGTGTTTGTAAGATTTTGCTCTGGAAACTATTCAGAGATGTAGGTTCTTCTTGAAGAATGATGGTATGTGATCGATTCGAAATGCCAAGGGCCCCCTAGTCCTCCTCTCACCCAGTTGCCCTATGTCATGGTGGAGGGCTGCAGGACTGCATTGCTGCTGTGCCAAGTCTGGAGGAGAGCTCAGAAAAACGAGCATGAAATAGCACTCAAATCTGCAGTGAACGAGAGAGGTTTCCTTGGAAGCCCACAGGCACTGACCCCTCTGTGAATGGGCTCTGGTCCTGTGCCACCTCACTTTTTTCACAGGTACAGACATTGGTGAGGTACAGACATTAAATAGTTCAAATACCCCTTGAACTATTTAACTTACAGTGTTGCAGGCTCTTCAGAGATGTTGACTTGTGCTTTGATCTTCAAATCTTTCTGAATTTGTTGGTCACAGGCCTGCTTGAAATTGCCCATATATAACTTTGCAGACACTATTTCTGCAGGGTATGGCTGGAAGTTGTCTAGTTCCTGCCAGAGAGAAACCATTTAGAGTTTCAGGCTCAGTTTAGAGAGTATTTGCTCCTATTAGGTTGGTAAGTCCTTAAACAGAAGTCATGTGAAGAATTGAATACATGCTTAGTTAACAGCCTATGACACATTCTAGTGTAATGACTCATTCCATCACCTGGACTTTCTGTATGTTGAAGTCTTTGCTAGATTTAGTACAAATCATTAACAGCATTGCTGTCATTGTGGCATTACTTGAAACAAATCCTAACTCAAAAGGAGGCAGCAGATATTCTTTACATTGTCTGGAGGGACTGCAGCATAACAGATTCACTTGATGTTTTCTCTGGTTACTGTTTGCAAAGCTAAATTTAATCATCTGCCACCTGCAGAGCTGCAGGTGCCCTGTAATGGTACAACCCAAGTCTGCAGCTGCTTCCAGTGTCTGCAGCGTGAAGGCTGACATCAAAAATACACAGGTAGCCAACAGTGCCTCTACATCCCTCACTGACACTCGGCTAATGCTGCAGCAGAACAAAGCAGCAGCCTGACAATTTAAAGCAAAAGAGAAGAGCTTAAACGGAGAAGAAGGAGGTACTCCATGTCCAGTTGAATCTGATGGGGAAGCTCAGCAGTTTGCTCCCCCTCACAAAGAAACACAAAGTGAATTGATTTTCTCTCCTGTGCTGTAGCATCCCACAGGTTAGCACCATGTCCCAGGCTATTTCACGTGAACCACAAGTGAACAGGAACAACGGAAACAAAAGACATGTTGCAATGAGATGCTCTCTGCTGTCCAGTGCCCTCTAAACCTGCCCTGCCTCAGGTCCTGTCCTAGATGTGAAAAAAAGGGTAATTGTTTCTCACAAGGTAAATATATAAATGTTTATAGGTGAAACCAAGCAATTAGGATACCAGTGGATGGCTGTTTTCTTTCTGGGCCTGTTGAAACAATGCAGCACCACTTGCTTTGTGATCCTTCCCAATGAAAAGCTGCCTAGACATGGCACACAGTGCTTGATAGGAATTGTACTTCTGTCTGAAAACATTTATTGTGTAACATCCCAGATAACCACGTGTCAGAGAGGAACCTGCTTCTTTTCATCGTTTGTTACTGTTTGTTTAGTTATCTGTACTCTCCAGTAGGCCAGTTTTGGGGTTATCAGGGAAACCTTCCCGGTGTGTTTTCATGAGCAATGTTTTCATTTCACGCAATAAAAGAAGGATAAAAAAGGCAAAGTGTGCCTTGTAAAAGAATTAGTGGTGAGACTCAGGGCAAGCACAGTAACTCAAATTACATTGAATTCCTTTGTTTGAAATTACTCTGATATCAGGTTTACAGCACCATTAGCCATCATCAGTTGAATATAAATGCTAATATCTTCTACTTGCAAATTAGTATCATCTCACCTGAGGCATCCACAATATCTTCTGCGTCCTCAGAAAATGATAGCAAGCTGAAAAACGCCTGTATCCTCCCTTCAGGACCAGCACAGGATGGCGGGTGAACTGCTCTAAGCTCCTGGCATGCTGGACAGCAATTCTTTCCTCGGCATCTAATGAGATCAAAGCACTATTTGCCAGAGCAGGTTTAGAGAGCTTCCACCAGCACTGGGGGTGACATCTGGCCCAGTGACATCGACAGCAAACTCCTTTTCATTTCATCAAAAGGTCTGCAGAAAACCTTGTTAAAAACTAGATTATTCTTTTAACTGTTGCTGCAGGTCAGTAACAAGGCATCCTGCTTTTCACCTCTTGTCCTCTGATCTTTTTATTCCTCTCCTGGTTTCTTTTGTAGGTCTGGATAAAGCTTTTTTTCCCCCCTCCCCATTATTCTTTGTGAAATGCTTGTAATAGGTCCCTATAATAGGGAAGTATTATTAATTTAAATCTAATAATCTGAGTTTTATGGAGGCCCTTTTTTAGTCTGCTTTAGCCAAAGGGGGAGGAATCTTGAATAAATTTTTTAAACACTCGCCTCAGTGAAGCAGATTATGTGAGGTGGCTGCTCCCCTTCCTTCTCCCAAGAGATCCATCCCAGTTGCCTCTAGCTATGTCTGCATTAGAAACAGATCAGCACAAGGGAAACCTGCTTCTGATTCTTCACACCTTCCCTTGCTAGTGTCTCACTTTATGAATGTGCTTTCTTTATTCATTCTCCTTCCACTCCCAGACTTTTTTTCTCAAAAAAAAGAGAGAGATGTAAATCTTTGGTAAAATCATAGTAGCCTTTATAAAGCCAACAGGAGCCAAACAAACCTACAGAAGTTGTTCTGCACACAGCAGAACTCCTTGCTAAAGGATGTGTGAAAGCTAAACATTTCCATGGTTCAAGGAAGACTGAACAATTACATGGAAAAGTTTCCAGCGTTTCACGTTTCTCAGTGAACTCCATCAAATCACCACTCCCATTAAAGCTAAGTCTTTTTAAATATGATATTGTGAAAGCCTTTTATAACCCTCAAAGAAGGAAGTACTCATCCTGTGAACATGTGGAACTTGAGTCAATGTTTTCAATCTCTGAAGAAGTACTGCTCCCTAAAAAGCAATTGTTGAACAAGCCCAATCTCAGTGAAATGGGGGAAAAAAAAAGAATTCATTCCTCAAACACAACATGGAACTTCAGCATTTTTTTTTCCACAGACAGGAAACCAGACCTGCCAGGAAGCTTTAAATTAAATCTGCATTTTTTAAGCCTAAGAATGTATGCAACACAGTGAAAAACCAGAGGCATAGCACAGATGTTAGTTTTTTAAATAAAACTGGGTAAATGTGCATCTCTTCCAATTAGCTCATAAAATTAAATGAGGAATGATAAGAATATCTGTCCTGCAGCGAGGTCTTGACTGACATGGTTCATAGGTACCTTTTTCTTTCTCCTCTTCCTCATAGTCACTGCAATCCAGAGAGCTGGTCTCACAGTCATACACCACACAGTATCTGACATACCCCAATTCCTCGCAATCCGGTACCAGATACTCCCCCTCAGGACTCTGCCAAAATCACAGAGGAATTCTATCAGGAGCACAGCTCCACACTTGTGGCATCAACACTGACAACATCTTGCAAGTCACTACTCTATGGGTACAGAAAGGGTTGATGCTGAAAGACCCGGTTGGAATTCAGAAATGATGCAAACTAGGCCAGATTGCTTCATCAGCCGCGGCGGTAAAGATGCCAACACTGTCCTTTGTGAGACAAGGCTACAATATGTTAGTTCTTGGGCAATATTTTTCCTGATTTCGAGCTCCTATGGGCCAGTCCTTTGAGCTACTGAAACCCCCTTTGCTTTCTTTGTGACAGAATACAACCCCCCAGTGGCAGAAATGGACCATGGCTGGGAGAGGTTGGGACAATTCCCTTGGGTTTGAAGCCAATTTCGTGTTACTGCTAATTGCTGAATCCAGGGATGGTTCACACACACGGTAACCCCCCCTCACCTCTTCAATCCTGCGCGCTGTAATAATATGGCTCTCATCATATTCACGCTGAGTACGGGCATCTGGAAAACAAAACCCAAAAACCAAAACCAACCAAGACTTAGGAATTGGTTTAGTTGGTGCTTTTAAGGTAGAATCCTGTCCCTAATTAATTGCACTAGTTAGAACGAG